CAGGTTTCCCACTAGGAGCCCCTGCAACCAATCAACTAGCTCAGTTTTTTATACTGATTAAGAAAGCAACTGTGATTGAGAAAGCCAACAGGGAATCTTTAGGTTTCTGAATAACAAAGTATGCCTAGGAAATTAGAGTTTTTAGAAGATTACTTAGCCAAAAGAAGAGACTGTAGAAAGGCAAAACAAATTAAAAGAATACTCCAATAGTGCAGGCACAAGCCAATAATGACATGGAAAAGGATGACAGCAATGGGAATGAAAGAGGACAGAAGCAAGAGACATTATAGTATTCCATCAACTATCACCTGGAGATAAGAGGAAAAAAGGAGTCAAAGATGAATATGAAATCTCAAGACTAAGAAAGAAACTGACTTGAGTGAAGAGGAATCTAGATTCAGACATAAATATGAGGTTATCTATAAGAAAAACAACAAAAAATTGGAGGACCCAGTCTGAGACTCCACCAAAAGTATGGTAATTTCCAAAAGTTTCAACAGAACTTTCCAAAACTGTTCAGAATATTATTTACTAAGCTGGTAAATCAATTTTCTCTATATAGTCATCTATTTCCATTCACTGGTATATCAAAAAAAATCAGAATTGGAAATTCATATATTGAGGCTTTGGCAATATGGAAAAAGGAAAATAAATATAGAATTTCTTTATCACATTTAAAGAAGAGAGGAGTTAATACAGACAGGGAGGAGAATGGTGAAAAAATAGCTAAGGCAAAATATACTGTCATGATTTCAAATAATCCAACAGAAAGTAAAAAAGTATAGATATACATGCAGTGAATTATAATAGTAAAGAGAATACTAAGTGTATTTAGCTATTTGTTAATTATTAATATTATTAATTTAACAACGGAAAAAACTATTCGAAGTTACTGAAGTGGTAGAAAAGTTGTTACTCTGAAAATGAAAGAAATGTGTTTTTTTTTTTAAAGAGGCCGCAATTTAGATTATACTGTCATATAAAAATATTTACATTCAACAAATTAATCTTTTAAAATCTCTGAAAACAGTATTCTCTAGATTTTTTAGTAAACATCAAAAATAACTGGGGAGTATGGAACATTATTTCATATATTCTTCAGTCTCCCCAATAGGATATGCCTTTGGATAGAGATAAGTAAGTCACTCTGACATATAAACTTACAAACCCACAGCTATTTTAAGATGCCCTTGACAGACAGAGGATGATGCCCTGTAGGTCCAACTCATTGATTTATCAACTCCAGCACTAAATTTCTGATTATATGCCAAATGCAACTCATCCCACACTTCTGTTTTGGCTCATAACAACAATATTTCATTATGAAAACAAGAGCTACAAACAAAATGCTCCACCCAAATAAAACATCTCTGGCTCCTGAGGCCTGGAATATACTCTTGTTTTGTCCCCCATGAAAACTGCCTTGTGATCTCTATAAAATAAGAGATTATACCAGGCCACATACTTATAATACTGAATTAATTAATAAAATGCCTATGTGTCTAATGAACATAAAGATTAGTGGTCTAATAAAAAGACTATGAAGCTAATCATGCTACTCTTTTCATTGGTATAGGCAATAGTTAGTTACTGAGCATTCATTCAACAAACATTTGCTGAGTTGTAATTGTGCCAGACACTAAGGATAAAAAGACAAACAAGACAGAGTCCCTGCCCTCAAGGGAGGGCCTGTGAAGTGTTAATAGTTAGACATGCAAGCAGAAACAATAACACAATCATTTCCCTAATAGAGCTGTTACACCAAGATGCAATGGGTCCACAGAAGAAGAAACGCCAATAGTCTATTCTGTTCTGTTTTGTTTTGAAGGGAGAGCAGACGTTCCAGGAAGGCTTTACACAGACAGGGACAAAAAGGTTTAAGCCTGAGAAAAGAATGAAGAAGCATTTGCTAGGCAAGAACCAAAAGAAAAAATTATATTACAACTTAGTGTAAATCATAAATCTACTTCATTTTAATGTGGAGAAAATTTACAAGATGACACTGGCATGTCTGATCAAGAGGCACACATATAGCTACTGAGTGGCAGAGTAAGAGCAGGACCCCAAACCCCAGGGCTTTAACCACTCCACCCTGCTATTTAATAATGCTCATAAATTTTATAATCCTACAAAAGGGATTACTTTGAAGCAAGATTTTTTATAGGACTATATTGCTGAACTCAAACAGAGACATGTATTGATTCTACAAATAAACTGAATTCCCCGGTTTTACACATTATGCCTTTTAAAAATAATAAAATCAGAAAAGATATCACTCTTTATGTTTTAATCTTTAATAAGAATCATTCCTATATTAATATAAAACTGAAAATTAGTTTCCTAATAGACTATATTAACAGTGAGGGAAAATAGACACTCTGATATATGCATAACTGGTGGGAGTACAACTTGAAACTTTTGTGAACCACAATATGGACTTAGTAAATGACATTACTTACAAGACTGATTATTACTTTAGCACTGTTAGTAATAGCCAAAGATTGGAAGCAACCTAAATATTCATTAATCATAAATTAAGGCACACATCAATAAAGTAAGGCAGAGTAACCAGCTGAAATGAGCATTTTAGTAGAATACTTGCGAGATGATGGTGACCTTGACTAGGATACCAGCAAGTGAAGAGGATGCACAAAGTCCAGAGAGAGACCAGAGTAAATAGGATTTGGCAATAAACTGGATTCAGACGAGAATTCGGCGAGATGGTGGGGTCAAGAATTAGAAAGCTATTAATGCACAGACCTTGGGTTTCATCTACAATTTATACACAATGCCTAGGCACTAAATATATTTGTTAATGAATAAAGATTTTGTAGTTAGTGGAAAAAGACAAAACAATTTA